TATGCGTATTGATTTCCACGCACTACTGTGTTTGCTACTCAGTGCACATGTGACAAAGCAAATGGCAATTAAGACTAAGAATTGGTGAATTCGAATAAAGGATACACATGATTTCTTACATTATGCTTGCAGTATTTCCCGTAAGTGTGAAATCCTTCCAAATAAAATCTATGAAAGCGTGAGTTCTGCATACACAAAAATTAGACGTTTGTAAGCAAAAGGGATGATAGAGCCATGTAAAGACCGTGCAAGCAGAAGGGATGATGGTACCATGTATTCTGAAGAACAGTTGTGTGGAGGATGCCTAAGACCTTGAGTTCGGTTAATCCTGCTTGGTCAGCCCATTTGCTGTAATGTCATTATAGCGTGTGTCAGTGCTCATGGCTTGGAAAAGGCAGTAGTTTTTAAGCTACATAGGATCAATTTCAGGATCAATTGGTACAAGAGACATAAAACCATATTTTTCTCTGAGGGTTCACTGGGTGGAATATGTGAGTGAAGAGAATTAAGTAGTACTAACAAAAGAGAAAAGTAGGTAGGACTATGAGGGTGTCTTCCTTAAACAACAATGTCACAACTTGCCATCATAGCCGGGATCATATCTGGGAATGGCTGGCTGAGTATCATCCAGTCCTCCTCCTTACCAGGGGAGAAAGCTGGCACCAAGAGTCACTGTGTGTAGACAATAAAAGGTATCAATGTGTTCATATGTATAAATGCCACTCCATTCTTCACAAAAGAAACTAGTATCCACACATTCATGCTTCTGTACAATTCAGGATAATATATAATTTTAGCTGTTTACAAATAACATGTTATGCTTCAAATATTACATAAGGTTGATAATACATTTCTGGCAGAAATAAATATATTGCACTTAAACAGAACTTCATTAGATGTTACTTCATAGTATTTGGCTTATAATTTTTCCCCATAGAACATTTCCCACACCCTTCCCCTACCCCACACACTGCATTACAGTGACTTTTCCACGCAATTCATTAAGCAAATGAAGACACAGCAAACAAGAAGACCATGACAGTCTGCTTAAACAGGTGATACAGAATTTCATATTTTAGTTAACATAAGAATCTTTTCAGATTTCTAAAAAAAAAAACATGTTAAAAGCAACTTAATACAACATGTCTTTGTGCCAGAAGTAAAATACAACAAATTGTATCTTTTGTCCAGATGTACTATTACACACACACACATGCATACACACACATACACACACACATACTATTTTTTTTTACAGAATGCTTTCTTTAAAAAGGGAAGATATTGAAATTATGTGAGGGGGCAGATAAAAAAAGATAGAAAATATGAATTTTTAAGCCATCAAATGCTTACAAGTGAGCCTTCTATGTTTAGCTTGCAGAGGAAGGGTAAGTGTTTTGGTGTTTTTAATCTGGTATAGACTAGTAAGCCATGACAAAAGGGTTTTATGCTTCCTTAATGTTTTAAAAGTTTATAATCTTCCTGTTGCTTGTTTACAGCAATGTCTTTCTAAGACAATACAAAAAATACATATAAAACCCACCCTTCCTGAAGTAACTTTCTAGAGGAATAAGCTATTTTTTTTTCTTTTGTCTACTGGTTTTTCAGAATGGGTATTGTTTTGTTTGTAATAATTATCAATTTTAGAACACTGAGTGAAAACCTGGGTTTTAATACAGCATGTTAGCATGTTCATTAGTGACTAAGTCACCACCGAGCCTTCCTGCCTAACAGTGTGGAAAATCCTCCCATCAGTTTTATACATAGGTGATTTTCCTCAGCATAATTGTCCTTTGCATAAGGACTGTAGCTTGAAAAGTTCATTGGAAATAGAGAAATAGGATAAACAACCTAGCATCTCCCTGAAACACTCATAGGCAATGTGAGACATGAGGTTTCACTTCTAAAAATATTTCTTGGGCATGTTGAGGATTCCCTTACTTTTTATTACTGTGTTTGGGGATGGGAGTGTTGTACCTGGAGAAGCAAAATGGCAGACACTTGGCCAGTGGTTGGGGAGATGAGATCTACAAATGGCCCAGAAGTCAGTGCAGCTCTTACACAAAGCCCACACAATGTTACTGCTACATCATGAATCTCTACAGAGAAATTTTGCATCTCTGTCCCCACTCACTACCAGTGCTGGTAACCCTTCCAGACAATACACCATTGTTACTAGCTGGAAACGCCAGCAATGGAGCAGAAAGCCCTGAGCTAGACAGTGTTACCTAACAATTGTTGATATGCACATCTGGATGTAGTCCCACAAGAACTGCTGGGGACAGGAAGCAGGTGGGATGATTCACTAAATAAAGAATGGGCACAACTCAACTTAGAATTATTGAGGTATATTTCAAAGCCAATGAGTTATGAACAAGTCCGTTAGAGCTCAGTAAAGCAAGGCTGGCCAGGTGTCCTCAGCAGCACTGCGCTTGGCCACGCAAAGGGGAAAACCTGAATTTATTCCAACTATATTTTAAGGCTTAGTCATGATTATTCAATTGAATTTACCTGTTACTATCTAATTCTTGCCATCAGTTTTGGTGGAGTGATTTTTAAATAGTAAATTCCCAAGGAATTAATAAGAATTGATGGCCAGAATAAACCCCAAAATTACAGGTGGCTCCCAGGCTTGACTGCTAGGCACTCACACGGCCCATTTCCCTTGGATGGCTTCTGTCTGGTTCATGTAATACCAACAGGGGAAACAAACACCCAGTTAAGAACTTTAAGGGGGAAATTTCCGGAGCCCGCTTTGCTCGGCACCTTCCATGCCATTCATTCAGTTTCGTTCTTATATTGCCGAATTACAAGAAAAATTCCAAGAAATATTGGCAAAGATCATATTTAACAACAACAAAAAAAAATCTACTGTGAGGCACACAGATTGGGAAAACGACACACAGTATTAAAACAATCATCTCACTGTCATGGGAAAGAAAACGCAGACACTCACTCACTTCAGTATCCCGGCATCCTAGAAGACAGTGGTTTTCCCTGCAGCACTTTACTCCAAGGTCCTTTTGCAAGAGGCCAGTCATTGAGTACCATCCCCTACCCTAACCCTATAGGCATTTATTTTAAACATCACTCACCACTGGTTTTAAAAATAAATGCATGTCTGTACTTGTCTGGATACCAACTCCCTGTGGATTCAACTGCGACACGATGACACATAAAAAGCCAGATTGACCAGCAGTGTCTGACAGGGGAGTTTAAAGTGGTTTTGTTGACAATTCATGTCTCTTTGGAAGTCCGGTACAGACTTTGGTGGAAGAATATCAACTGAGAAATGTAAAGCCAGCATCCCACCCTACGCTGTGTGTGGTACCTTGTTTCAGAGGTTGGACTTGGCCTAGAAAGTCATTCAACGTGGAAACATCTAACAAAACTACCAAATCAAATTGCCGAGTGATGTGGTTCCTATATTGAGCTGATGCCTAAATACACTTCTACTGTCAGGAGTGCCATTTCCCGTGTCTTCTAGCACATTCAATACATTTGAAGTAGGAAAAGAGTAGAATGAAAACTACATACGAAATTTAAACTAAAATAAAGTTCAGGTGAACTGTGTGAAGCAAACCAGTCACATCCTAAAGGTGGAACACACTGTCTTCAAAGCTGAAGGTCTAACGACTTTAATAAATCTATGCTATCAGGGATTTATTATTGTAAAATACCAGATTTGTTGCCCTGGACTGTAAATGCTAAGATACATGTTCTTCAAAAATAACATATTGATTATATAGCAGTAAAACATAATCTCTAGTGTATTTATAGAGGGGAAGCGTAAGAAGGAAGCAAGAAGCTGGCTGCAGCCGTAGTTTGCTGGTAAGAACTCTCAGTGTTTCTGTCAGGGAGTCACCGGACTAACATGCAGTTTCATGTTAGCGATGGGGGGGAAATGGAAGGGAGTCTGTAAATGTATCACAGAGAGATAAGAGAAGTCAGAGGCAGGGCACACCCATGCCCGCAGGCTTATGTGAAAGCCTGGTGAGCTGCCTGTGAGAAAATGGCCAGTGGCGAATCCCTGACCACAAACAATGGCAGCAGCAATAAAGCAGATTCTAAAAAAATCAGATGTTAGCCCAATGTGTTTTAATACGCAAAAGATCCCCGACAAGGAGACAAAAATGAAGGGGACTTTGGTTCGCATGGCAGAGAAATCCCCTTCAGACGAGAGCCGCCATATTTTGATTGTAGTTTGTACTGGGGAACCTTGCCGATCACCACACACGGGCTCTGGAGAGGTCCTGGGTGGCCACGCCAGCAGCCTATTGAGAATGCAACACCCCAAAAGCTAACCTCTTCGATAATAACAGAACACCTTTCTTTAAAATAACAGACAGAGGGTTTCCCCTGCATACCTGCAAGATTTTTTGCAAGAAAAAGAATTAATAGGAAAAAGAAAAGGGGAACGGACTGAAGACAGAACTTCTGGTGTCCTGGCCCGTGGGCAGCAGGAACTTGTGAAAGCAGCTCCCGCTATTCGTTCATACCACAGGACGCATTAGCACCGACTCCGCCCCTTCCCCAGCAAACTGACATAAAGGAAACTAAACATGCTTAAGCCACAGCACTATAAATGTTTCGCTATTGGCTCCCATTTCACACTGGGAGAAATGGAGTTGAGCATTTCAATATGCTATGTAGTATTGCCTCTTGGACGATGCTTAGGACCTGTTGGTAGAAAGAAAACCTATACACAAGGATTTTATACAATACTGCATCAACAGGACTTTTAAACACTAGGAATAACGCACCTGGAGATTCCTTTGCCTTAGATCATTAAGCTTCCTAGGTAAACTGATGTCTTGTTAGTTGTAGGAGCAGGCTGGCTAAACTTTACACTGGATCCAGCTGCTGACGAATCCTGGCCCATGATGCATTCCCCTACACTGTGAGTCCAGCTCTCCTCTTTAATTAAGTCCTGTATTTCCTGGAGAGCCCCTGCTCCAATTCTCTACATCCCACCCACCCATCCCCCTCCTATATTTTCATACCCTTTTGCACATTCTGGATCTAGCTCCCTCAACTCTCAGAAGAGTCATACAAACGGCGTCATCACCGCAGAGGAGTGGCGTAGTCCTTGGATGGCTGCATAGGGCCCCTGCTGAAAGTAATGATGATATCGAGGCATATGGAATGATGGGAATGTAGGACCGCTTCCCTGCATCGAGCTGGCAATGGCGGATGGGGTCAGAGGCATTCCCAGGCGGCTATATGGTGGCAGAGAACCCTGAATAGGGTGAGGAATGGGTGTCGCTATGGACGCTGTGCTGGTGCCAAGAGCAGTCAGGGTCTGTGGATGCTGAAAGCCAGGGAAACTGGAAGACGATGATACCCAGGAACTGAGAGACAAATTGTCAGATGTTGTAAAGGCTGATCCTGCAAGAAAAACGCTCATTAGATTTAGGTGGCTCTGGAAATACACTGATGAAGAACTAGAGATCAGTTTATTTTCTTTGTTGTTATTTTGAGATAGGGTCTTACTATGTAGCCCTGGCTGTCCTGGAGTTCACTATATAGATCAGGCTGTCCTGAATTCACTGAAAACTTACCTACCTTTGCCTCCTAAATGCTGGCATTAAAGACATGTGCAGCTATGCCCAGTTTAAGATCAGTTTACTTTTAAAAAAATTGCTAGTACTCCACATTCAATAGTAGTTGGGCAATAGATGGGACTCAATTATTTCTAAAGAAGGGGTTGGACTGTGTTGACTCATCAGTTGAGAACACTATATTCCAGGGGACAGTTTGAATCCCAGCATTCACATGATAGGTCACAACCGTCTGTAACTCCAATCCCATGGGAATCTGATGCCTTCTTCTGACCTCTACAGACACCAGGCATGCATATGGTACACAAACATACATGAAGATAAAGCACTTGTGTGTGTTTGTGTATAATAACTATAAAAAAAGAAAGAAGAGAACTCAAAGTCAGGAGGCTAAAGAAGTGAGGGTGGTTGGGTCTGGGAAGAGTTTAGAGAGGGAGCTGAATGTGATCAAAACACACTCTATGAAATTCTCAAAGAATTAATAAAACTATTAACATTTTAAGAAGAGGGGAAAATGTTATATCAGCATTTCAAAAAGACAAACCAACATGAACCTTACTAAAAAGTAGATCCAACTTTCTAGATAAGAAGGTATCATTGACATCCTACACGGAAGGAAGAACTAACTAAACAGAAGAGCACCCAGATGATTGCACGGCCTGCAGATTCTGGAGTGGCCGAGCAGTGATGCTTTGCTGGAGAATATGACCTCATTTCCTTAAAGAGCACCACATATCTGTAGCACCTAACTGTAGGAACCAGATATGTCTCAGCAAAGCCACCTTTTCCCAAAACCATCAGGAAAACCCGAAGAATAAATTCTCCTACACCAGGAATGCTGACTTTTCCAACTGCGTAATGGTTCCTGGCTTCCTTTCCCTGAGTTATTAGAAATGCCCTGTCTTTCCACTAATTGTGTTGCTTGGTATTTTAGAAACAGGCCCCCCAAAAAAGATAGAAATTCTTTCCCCGTGGTACCATCCTAAGGTGGAACCCCACTGGCCTCTCTACTCTGTCTTTCCCGTCTTTCATGCTTCCTGTGTGCTCCGTCTTCTCTCAGAGCTTTCTGCTCAAGGAAACTTGATTCCATTCCTTTGTGATTTGTGTCACGTATGCAGTGTGTACTGGACAATCTCGGGTGTCATTCCCCACCCCATTTTTGAGGTACAGTCTCTTACTATTCTGTAGCTAACTTATTATGGCAGGATGGAAGCCAGGGAGCCCAGGGATTTGCTTGGCTCTGATTCTCCAAGTCAGGGAATTCTAGGTGACCAAGCCATCTCTCTACCCCTTGGTTTAATTCTTGCTTCAAACTATTAGGGCCAGTGATGGCCCTCTGTCATGATATTCCTCTTTTAAAAGTGTTCTTCATTTTGAACTTTGATCCTAACAAAATATCCCTAATTTTAAAATAATAAAGCTGAGATTCAAAAATGGTAAGAAACTATCCAGAACTGTGATTGGTGGCTCTTTGGCAGTAAGTCATAGACAAACCCATCCCTAACCTATTCAAAGGTTCTATGTCTGTTACCCAGCAAAACACACCACAGACAGAGTAGTCACTCAAGCAAACTAAAGAGGCATAGGAGGATCAGCATTGGAGACTGCTTCTTTTGAAAAGGCTTGAAGACACTTATTGACATGCACTCCCAGAGGACCAGACATTCCATCAGCAACCTGCCTTCATTCCCTGTCAAGGTCTCTGGCCTCCAGCAGCTCCACATCTCCACATGGTAGACAGACTTACCTCTATTTGGAGTTGTCTGGCTCTCCTCCCCCAGTACATCCTCTTCTCCGTAGGTGCGGATGGGTGACCGGGCATAGGAATGCTTCTGGATCAGGCTCTCCACACTCTCCCTGTGGAACAGAGGGATATATCACAGTTCTCTTCTGAGAGGAGGTTGGGGGTTCACTAGCCTACTTTTTCAGCCAAAGGCAAGACAACTTTCAAAGCTTGTACGTTCATTCACTGTAAAGAGACTTCTGGAACACGAGTTCAGACGCCTAAGTGCAAATAAATACAACTAGGCAGAAATAGAAGAACACAGAGCAATGAAATAAGGCTATAGGAGGACGGAATTTAATGAGGCAAAAAGTGATGAATGAATCCACTATAGGACGGTAATAAATCTTACAGATTTCATCAGATAATGATTCAAAACAAATATGAATTGATTCAAATGTACTGGCTCAGGATATAATAAAATATTGGGAAATGTTCATAATATCAGTTATAAAATGACTGAGTATTCACTCAGAATGTAAACACACAGAGTACATGGCAATATAAACTCCTTGGATAATGGACCTAGAAGATTTTTGTGGTGTTTAAACTGAAAATTACATAAAAGCTGTAACAGATACATGAGCAAATCAAGACCCTCAGAAACACTGGTACATTGTCTTTGAAGAGGGTCTCCCAAGAGGGCAAATAACTCTTTCGAAAAAACATAGTTATGACCTATCAAAGGGCCAAATATTGATATTTTTAAATTGTGTGGGATGAGAAAGGGGAAGCCAAACACCCAACTGCTTACTGAAGAAATAAGAAAATAAATCAAGTGTCACAATAACTATTCAATGTAATATTTGACATTTCACAGAGAAGATGCTATCTAATTAATAGTGTGTTTGGGGTCCTAAAAGTTTACATAATCATGACGCTGTGGGGTCTTTTCCCCAACAGATAATGGGGAGAGCCCACTTCTGCAAATTCCAATGTTTTGTTGATCTCTGTTTGTAGAGATCACCAAAAACCACAATGCCCTAATTTCTGTTGCTGAATTAAAGTATCAAAATGAGTTTTCACTAGTACCCAAAGTTCATTTTTTATTCAAAATTGTATTGGTTATTCTAGCTTCTTTATTTCCATATAAATTTAGTACTTGTTGATTTATTTTTAAGATTACTGAAATTTTAATCAGAATTGTGTCTGAGATGTACACCAATTTATGGAGAGTTGACATTTATAATATTGAGTCTCTTTCAGCCCTTGAATAGTATGTCCTTCTATTTATCACTAGAGCTAAATAGATTTAAATATACCAGCCTGACACATCGGAGCCACATTTATCTCAAAACGTTTCATGTTCTACTAACTGCTTTTTAATTTCAATTTACAACTTCTCATTTCTAGTAGATATAAATGCAGCTTTCTTTTGCATGCTGCATGTAGCTTTCAGCTTTGCTAGCACACGTATTTGTCCCAGTGACTCTTTCAAAGGTTTGCATTTGTATGCAGTCGTGATATCTAGGATCAGAAGTGATTTCAGTTCTTTGCTTCTGTTCATAATGAATTTATTTTACTTTTCCCCCATCTTACTGCAACATGCAGAATCAACTGCACAGCTCTGAACAGAAGTGTTCAGATTCATTTAGTGAGATCCCACACCATATACACAGCATTGTTCCCTGGACTTGGTGGTTGGCTTTCATTGGAATTGGTTTAATGAAATTCAAAGAATTGATCCCTCCTCATCCCATGTTGCTGACAGGATTTTTTAAAATAAGAAATAGATTTTGCATTTTGATTTTGTTTTTGTTATTTTCTGTGTCTATAAAGAAAACAAAGTGGCTTTTCTTTTTTAGTAAGTTAATTTGATCAGTTACATTGGGTAAACTTCTAGTGTTAAAATAATTTTGTATTTCTGAGGAAAACTCTAGTTGGTCATATTGGTCATATCAGTTTTTGTTTAACTCAACCTCCTAGAATTATTTTAAAACTTTTCCCATGTATATTCAAAAAGGAATATTAGACTCTTATTTTCTATTTTGCAATATCTTTCCTCAATCTTAGTCTTAAGGTAACAATGTCGTCATAACGTCATTTTAAAAGTATCCTTGGATTTTCTTCCTGTTGCTATAATAAAATTGCCTACCAAAGCAACCTAAGAGGAAAGGGTTTATTACATAGCTCATAGTGCACAGTTCACCACGACAGGAATAAGACAGAATAAGCCTGGGATAGCAGGTCATATTGTAGTCACAATCAGGAAAGAAAGAGATGCAAACATGCTGCCTCCACTTACACAATCCAGGATCCAGCTAGGGCAGGGTGTCACCTCACCCACAGGAGATGGGTTTGAGTTAACACAATCAAGATGACCACACATGCTCAGAGGTCTACTTCCCAAGTGACTACAGGTCCTGTCAAATTAATCATTAAAACTAACTATCACATAACCCTTCCCTTCGGTTTACTAGAAAAGCTGAAAACTTTTGTTACTGTACATTATTTAAATATTTTGTATAAGTCACCAGGGGGCACCTTAGCCCTTATGGAAACATTAATTACAAATTCACAACTATCAAATTACATTTCTTCTTGAAATGCACTTGATAGTTTTTGTCTTCAAAAAATTTATTTGCCTCCTTTAAATTGTTGAAATCATAAGTGTGCTGATTATTGCACTATATAATATTCCCTTATTAATCCTTGTCTAGCTTCTTGTCTCTTTGCTGTAGTAAAATGCTCTTACAAAATCAACTTACAGGGGAAGGATCTTGCCATCTCAATTACTGTGATCAGCACAAATCCCCACACATAACATAGAGCAGCGGTTCTCAACTTTCCCAGTGCTGAGACCCTTTAATATAGTTCCCCACATTGTGGTGACCTCCAACCATAAAATTATTTCATTGCTTCTTCATATCTGTAGTTGTCTACTGTTATGAGTTGTCATTTAAATATCTGTGTTTTCTGATGCTCTTAGGTGACCCCTGTGAAGGTTCATTTAACCCAGAAAGGGTCACAACCACAACTTGAGAACCACTACCACTACCATAGCCCAATTTGCTCTGGTCAATTCTTCATGGCTGTCTGAGAGATGAGAGATTATGCATTCTCAAGAGTGGTGTTAGTCCCCACATGTTTAATAACGGGGACTGTGTTTCCTTCCTGATCTGTTTGACTGGAGAAGTGTCAATTTTATTATCTCTGCATTCATGTTCCTGTTTTTCTCCCCTTATTTTCTTTTATTTCCCCACAAATAAGACTTTTTATTTGTCACTATTAGAAACAGATTTTTGGACTGGTGACTCATACCCATAAGCCCGTTCAACTTTCGCACCTGTCTCATCACCAATAGCTTTCCCAGAACTACCACCTTCACCAGGGAGCTCCAAGAGATTTCCCAGTTCAAACTTAGGTTTCTTCGGCATTTTCACTTTTCTAAGAAAGACATCATGAAGAGAATAAATGTACTGGCAAGGCTTTTCTATGTCTTTCCCAATGCTGTCTAGAATCAATTTATTAACCACTTCCTTCAAGTTATTTGTCTGCACTTCTCGGATTATAATTTTCATCATCTTCTGGATCTAGGGGATCTCCTAGTGCTGTGCACGGGAGGTCTCACGTATCTGGTTGTAGTGCTTTTCAGTGAAACCAATACAGAACAAACAGAGCAAAAAACCATTGGGTGTCTTGACATCGCCATGAGCGTCAATCATGGTCCGCCACTTTTTGACCATGGAACACATTTTGTCCCAGGTAAGATCCATGCTGTGAAAGTTAGTTGGACAGTTTTTACCCTAAAGATCCCCATTAATTACCTTGAAATTTCTAAGTGCCACTTTGTCCTTCTATACATCAGCAAGGCTCACTTCAAACATACTACTCTTGGGGCCATCCGATGCAATTTTGGTTTCTTGAGTCCTTGTGAGCAGTTTTTTTCCAATGTTTCTGATATTGAACATAGTCGGAGCTTTCATATACCAACCTTTCTTCAAAAAAGATCACTCCCTTCCTGACGGCTTTCTTCAGGCACTTGTTCTTACTGACCGCCATGGTGCTACTGAGAGCTCTTATGTTTTTTTCTTCTTCTTCTTTGAATTGATTTGTTCTTCCTCTCCTAGTTTCTTTGAGATTGAAGATGTGGGTGATTGGTCTTAGACATTTCCTCATTTCTAAAGGAAGACTATACTACTCAGTAGTGTTCCAACAGCTTCCCTTTTCTTGTTTAGCAGTTACAGCTTCCTTCCGTTACTTTACCGACTGTCTCCACATTTATAGTAAATACTGAATTTGTCACAGTCTACCTTAAGGTGATATTGCACCTTTCGAGGATAGCGGAAGAATCTTGCCAGCACACAGCACTTAAAAAACCTTGCAGTTATATATTTAATTTACCTCTTCTAGCTTTGTGTCCATCTTTTAAAACGTTGTTTTATAAATTCCACTCTCTACTTTTACATCTTTTAAAGATTCAAATGATATGAAAACATTTTGTTTATCCAAGTCCTTTGCATTTCTGTCAGTCTTCGTTTCCTCCTGGATATCCAGAATGGGACCTAGCACAATCTCTTCTGCCTAAAGGACTTCCTTTAACCGATCTACAGAGCAACTAGATGGTGGGGATGAAGTCGTCAGCTTTTCTGTGTCTGGAAAAGAACCTTTGCTCTGCTTTTGCTTTTAAGAAGTCATTCTGGTGGCTGTCATAACTCTACCCACGCACGTTTTCCCTCAGCTCTTCAAAGACAGTTCATTCTGGTGGCTGTCATAACTCTACCCATGCACGCTTCCCCTCGGTTTTTCAAAGACGGATCCTTAGTCACAAGAAGTCCGTCATCGCTGTCATCCTCAGCTTTGTTCCTCTGACATAATGTCTTTAATCCCCTCAGTGCTTCCAGTCTTTCCTTTGTCATTGACTTCCAGCCATTCAATTATGATGTAGCTTTTACTTTCTTCGTGCTTCTTGAGCTCAGCCTGGTTGAACCTTCTGGATTGCGTGTTTAATTGTTGTTAAATTGGGGAAAATTACATGTCTTTTCCCATCCTCCAGTGACCTTCCAGGGTCTCTAGTTACATATATGTGATGCCTCTTGAAGCTCTTTGTGTTGTCTAAGTTGTCTCTTTGTAC